ATATGATTTCAGATATGTATATAACATATTGATTTTCCAAACTACTGCTTATAGGTGTGATGTTTTAAATTATTGATAAATTAGTTTATATTTTTTGTTCTGAAAGTACTTTATTTTTTGGTTGGCAACTTAATTGCATTATTGTAAACGAATTTTACAAGTAAACTTTGTGATTAATAAGTGATTTAAGAGATAAAATAACAAAGCATCATGAAAAAGCCAATTTTTTCTAAGCTTTTTTTTTCATTGGTAACCTTTGATATATAAAGAACAACAATCATTGTTTTGCTGGTTACTTAACATATCAGAAGAGAAAAACTTCATGCTTAAATAAATATAATTCTGCTCCAGAAAATTTTATTCCTCAAAAGTTTGGAAAAATATTTAACCTTCAGAATAACAATAAGAATACAATAGTTCAGAATACAATAGTTTATAATTATATATAGACTGATAATAAGTCAGTACTTAAATAATTATAATTGCAATGAATGTTATGTTGTGCAAACTTGACGCTATTTTTTAATGTTTTAAAAGATTAGTGTCATTACTGATTTTGGAACTGTAAAATCAATTTATTATGGAAAGTGTGAAAAATATGCTTCGAGAAAATAAACGTTTTGTTTACAACGTCGTTAAAAAATGTTTGAGTTCAATTTGATCTCGTACTGTATGAAGTATAGAGCCAAAGTAATTGAATAAAAATTGATCTTAAAACGAATCAGCATGTTTTTATGTTTAAATTAGAAGTACGTTATGTAAATCTGGTATATACTTCCCTAATAAAAATAGCAATTGATCATATTTTTTCCGATGATTAAATTTTTATATTTTGATAGAAATTTAATTATCATTTTTTATGTCTTACCTCCTTGTCTTCCTCTTCGAGTGTGAATTCCTTCTTCTTGACAACCTTGAGTTGATTACGGAAGTTAAATTCGGCGGCTTTCTTCTGCAATTTGGCGAACTTGTTCTCGTATTTGGAGACCTTCTTGAGGGTGGGTTTCATGCTGAAATACAATTAGTTTATTATATATCAATTGTTTAATTTATCTATTATACATTTGCTTGGTCCTATTAACTAAGGAGACCATAAATTTTTAAGTCAAAACCGTGGCGGCAATTTTTGGTTGTGGTAATCTGGGTCGGGTGGCTAATAACAAACGCTATTTGAAAATACAATAAAAAATAGTTTTTTTAAATTAATCAATTTTAATCAGAATTGCGGACTTTTAGTAAAAACTTTATTATTCGGTTATTCAGCGGTTTCCAACCTTTTTTTCCTTGCGCCCCCCTTTTGAAAGAAAAAAATATTGCGCCCCCCCCTAATTTTTTTAACAATTTAATTTAAATATACTTAATTGAAATTATGATTTATTCAATCTCGTACCAAATAATGCACAATATACATACATACAAAAATAAACATACAAAAATATACATACAAAAATATACATACAAACATAACTATGGATTATAGGAAAAAAATAATTTTAAATTTAATAAAAACAAATGATATAATATTTCACACAATATTAAAAAATTAATGCGACGGTTGAGCTTGTTTTTCAGCACAAATTTTCTCAAACCGCGGCCCCATTGTAGAAATCGCTGTTCTCAGTTCCTTTTCTATCACTAAACGAGATCGGTACTTTGTTTTTAATACTGCTACTGCAGAAAAACCAATTTCACATAAGTAGGATGTCACAAATGATAATAAAATTTCTAAGGCTTTATTTGTCAAAGTTGGAAAATCGTCCTTTACTTGTAACCAAAACTTAACAGTATTCTTTTCGTCCTGAAACATCTGCTTCAATGTGCTATCACTAGATAAATCAATTATCATTTCCTGCTCTGTCGTTGGAAGTCCAAAATTATCATATTTATCAATAACAAATGGATTTCTAATCCATTCGTATTTGGACATATCTAGATCTTTGAAGTAATGCGCAAATTGGTTCCTTAAACTAGTCATATGATTGATAATAAGATCTTTACTTGCTTCTATTTCATCATCAGTAACACATGTAGTTTTAAAAGAAGGAAACATATCAAAGTTATTACTTTTCATACTAGCTATCCACAGCTCTATTTTTTTCATAAACGCCGTAATCTTGTCCTTTTGAAAAAAAGCATGAATTTGAGTTCCTCGCATTGATTTATTTAAATCACTTAGTCTTTTAAAAATGTCAACTAGATACGCAAATTTTGCGAGGAACTTCGTGTCATAAAATATGTCTGCTTCATCTCTTTTATTATCAGCAAGAAAAATGGCAATTTCTTTTTTGAGCTCAAACACCCTTTGAAGTACTTTAGCACGAGAAAGCCAACGTGCTTCACAATAATAAAGTAGTGCTTTGTATTCTGAGCCCATGTCATCACACAATTTTCCAAAAAGCCTTTCTCTTAATGGACTATTTTTGATAAAATTAACAACTTTTATTATAATTTCAAATACTTCAAGTAATTCTTCACCCATATTTCTTGCAACAAGAGATTGCCTATAAATCATACAATGCGTCCAAACTGCACGAGGAGCCACTTTTCGAACTAGGGCCTGCAGACCAGCATTTTTTCCTGCCATAGATGGAGCTCCATCAGTGCACAGTCCAACACAGTTCTCCCATAAAATACCATTTTCAATAAAAAAGTTATCAATTATATTAAAAATTTCACTCGCCGTAGCTTTGCCTTCAATTGCCTTACAGAATAACAACTCTTCTCTAATATCATTTTCCATAACATGTCTTATATATGTTATTAAGTGTGCATCCTTAGCAACATCGGTTGCCTCATCTACTTGCAACGCGAAAGAAGATAATTTAATTTTTTCTATCAACTGATCGCAAAGATCATCAGATATATCTGATATTCGTCTTCCCACCGTATTATCTGCCAGCGGAATGCTTTTAATTTGATCAGCATATGATTCACCAAACATCATAGCTATTATGTCAATAGCTGCTGGTAGTACTAAAGTTTCTCCTATTGAATGGGGTTTTTTGCATTTAGCAATTCTATACGAAACTTCGTATGACGCAAGTAACGCTTTTTGTGATACAGACAAAGCTTTTGAAAACGATTCTTTCTGTTTATTTAAGTTATCTAATTTTCTTTGGAAAAATTCTTTTGTTTTGCCAACATGATCGGCGACTTTTTCCAGATGTCGTTTTAATTTACTTGGTTTCATGCTATCTGAGGCCAAAGAATTCATACACAGCAAACACATTGGTCGTTCTTGACCATTAATGATCTTATACGTAAATCCCAATGATAAGTACATTGGATCATATTTTCTATGTTCAGTTTTACTATTTTGTGAAGAAACATTTCCATTATTTTCACCACCCTCTTCTTCTGCTTCAGTAAATTTTCTTTTCAACCCAGTCACGTATTTATCCATCACAAACGGTTTTTATAACAAATCAAAGAAAATCACTTTTTCACTACTTTTCACAATAATTCCTGGCTAATAATGTGCTAAAACTAAAGCTATAAATTTTAACTCAATAATAATTTAGAAATGATTTTTTCTATATATCAACGCGTGTATCTCCAGCACAACTAATGAACTAATTCGATTTATAGATAACAGAATAAAAAGGATGCTTTTGTTTATTTACTTAAGTTAGTCTCGAGTAAGCACGTGAATATTCGATATGATCCGAGTGTTTATCTTTTGTTTATAGGCCTACAGCTCACTCAACTACAAACGCAAAAACGAAATATTTTGAATGCACCAAAAGTATAGTATAATCATGCTTTTACATTTGTCCTGACAGAATTGCGAAAATTGTAGATTACTTGCATACATTTTGCTGATTTGTTTTTGACACTTACTCAGCATTTAACAACCATATTTTTGAAAGAGCTTCGCGCCCCCCCTGGGACGGCACCGCGCCCCACCAGGGGGGCGCGCCCCACAGGTTGGAAATCGCTGGGTTATATGTAATACTTGTTTATATATGATATTCATGTTTTTTCGCGTTTGAGCCTTGAATACAATTTTCTTCATAACTAATTTTTAAAAAATAGCGCTTGTTCATTTTTTTCATAATTTTTATTAATTTACGTATTAAATTTCAAAAAAACGAGACAATCCGGGCCAAAAGATCTAAATCTGGGACAAATATTGCTTGTAAAAAAAACCCGAGACACAAGATGGAAATCCGGGACGTATGGTCACTATTAACGCACAAATGACTTAAATATGAGACACTTCCCGGTGAAAAATATTAAGTTAAATGACAATAAGTATTTGAAAACTGTTCAAGATAACCTAAAATTAACAATGTATGTTATATAACAATTAAATAACGTATACTTAAAATTTACTTTTGTTATAGATTTTTAAATATTGCCGTTATCCTCCTGATGCCAATTCAAATATTCTAAATGTTGAAAAATTCTAAATTTTACAGATTTTTGAGATATCGGCGGTAGACTATTTTTTCGCGGATTCTTGAGCCCCATATCTACCCTATATTAATCATTTGCACCAGTTGCAACCTTTTTGATAAACGTCTATATTCTATGGTTGAATTGAAATAAGTTAAGTTATATTTAATAATATTAAATAAAACTTACAATTTTCCTCTGAGGTCGTTCACCTGTGAGTTGAGATCGGCAATCTAAATTGTGGCGTAGAAAACAGATTTTTCATTAGAATAAAGTATTATTGCTTATTATCAAATGTAGTATACATGCATTAATTCATAAAAATATGGAAAAATTTTATTTAAAATTGAAGTTTGACTTCGTTTTTTAAAGAGATTCACAAACAAGAAAACTTTACTATTGACAATATGTATATACAATATTTATAGATATCTTTATAAACTATTTCTATATCAAAATTTATTCATGCATGAGAACACTTAAATACAGAAATATGTACAGATATTTACAAGTACATATAATATCGATAAGCTATGACATAAAAAGCATCGATAGATTTATTTGCTTTGCAAGAATTTGTAGGCAAAGTATGAATTTGTTTGTATGCAAATCATAAACTTCTTGCAGCAAATAAATTTAGATGAAACACACAGAAACATGGAACACTTATATGGTACGCAATTGTTAGCAGCATTGCGGAAAGGAAAACTAATATAAATAATTTAGAACAGATAGAGAAGTGGTGTATTAATTTGATCCAACATGCATATTTGATATTATATTACAAAGCAAATGGTTGATATGAAAATCTTCAACAAATGCCTGAGCACTTGTTATTTGCAGTATTTGTTTCTATTGCACACATAGCATAACTTCTTCAAAATGAATTTTGTATATTTAAAACTGCCTATATGTTAAATAGAAACAAATCTGTAAGAGTGTAATAGTGTCTCAATACATGTAATACTACCATATTCAAAAAAAACTTAAAAACGCTTGTAGTCTTAACATCTATTAAAAATACCCAACAACAGTATTAGACACCATTTCGTTAGGTGCGATGTTGTCTTCTTCCATAGAATTATTCGTTTTATATTTCACTATATTAAATACAAATATGTACGTGAAATAACTTACGATGTAAAAGTCAAAATAGTACTTAAAAATCATGAATTCTTGTAAATGAAATTACTGATTAAATCAGTATCGCTTTGAAGAAGAACCAAAAAAAGATGTCTGTATTGGGTGTGCGATATATGTTTTCCAATATAGTTTTTACCACTGAACCCGAATCCAAAGTCAAAATTGAGAGTCACACAAATCACAAAGTTTGACCCCCAATTTTGACTTTAAGTTTGTGTTCAGCAGTAAACACTACATTGGAAAACATATGTCGGACAACCAATACATACAACTTTTTTTGTAGACCTCTGTAATTAAATGTATCGTCTTTTTTCAGAAACTAGTGTTAAATCATTATGGTCTTTAAGTGAAATTGTTTTTCGTCAAAAACGCATTGTCAAAAAAACGTAGAAAATTCATCGATACTCAAATTACGTATTGGAACTAATAGTATTACATGTATTCTTCATCGAGAGTAAATGGATACTGAGCAATAATTTTTCAATACTTCGTGTATTCAAGAATTTTGCCCTCATTATGTCTTTGATATAGCCAAGAAAGCAATTATTATGAGTAATTATTATTGTAAGAAAGACTAATAGTTTTACAGTAATGCAGTTATTGAACTTGCTTTGATGTATTTGGGAAATAACATATATATTATTTTGGACAGTCGTCTGGCTGGTCTTCATCAGCTTTTCGATCGTAATTTGGATTTAGTACGACAGAACCATGAGTGTTATCACAGAAACGGCAGCGATTTTGATAGGCGCCTGTTATAATGTATATGTTGTGTTGTGTATGTAAATATCTATTGACAGATTTTTTTGGTTTTAGTGTACATGTAATTGGCATTGTTTTTCTTTGAATGATGCAGCTAAGGTGAAACATTTTCCTGTTCGTGTGTCAATTGTTCGATTTACACATATAGAATACATATAATAGTGTTGTGCATTGGTAATGGGCTAAAAGCTAGAGGAAAAGTTTCGACCGACGTCACTAAGAGGTTTTTTGGAATTGTTGGAATTTTAGGGTAGTAAAACAGTAAGGATACATTTTCGGGATTTTCCATTTGAAGTATGGCACTCGCTGGACTTTATTTTTTTACATAACAACGGGTCAGATGTTGGAACACTGTTTCTTTTCATAGATTTTCGTTTGTTCTGCGCGTGAAAAAAGTTCTGACTTAGATTAAGACACTGAAATACCGGTGCTGGGTATATTGTTATATATTATTAAAGCTTGTTCCGATAGAAATCTGTATAAATCTAATGCAGAGAATCAGTTAGTAGCTGCTACGAAATAAAATAGGCTGTTAGGCATTATGAAGCTAATCAACATCTTCTACCTTCCATATATCAATAAATATAAATGACAATATTTTGAAAATTAGTTAATTCATAGATTATTTATTCATTTACTTATTTAAAATAGTTTTAGCATATATCTGAAGTGCCATACTTTTTATGGATAATAATTGGTGCGTACCAACGTATTTTAAAGCAGGGAACTTGTCATGTAAAGCTTCCACTTTAAATAGGTTTAAATTTGTGCTCGTTCTATGTGAGTTATCGCGATCATGAAACAAAATTTATATGGAATTAAATTTAAAAAAAAACTTTGCAACTTTAATCAATGAAATTGTTGGGCTTCAGGAGTTTCAAACCATGCTTTAAAAAGTAATTTTATTTAGTTATTTGAAATGTCATTGCTATTTCTATGATATAATCTAAAATGCGGGGATAGGATATTTTATGGAAATGCCAAATCGCCTTTCGTGACGTGGTCGAATACACCCAGCACACAATTGCAGTGCCTTTCTTAGTCAATTGTGATTAAAATGATATAAATTCAAGTGTCAGTCCTAAATTATGCTTAATGCGATATTATTTACAAAAAATAAATTAACAATAATAATAATGGCGAGTTAAGCATGTTTTTTTTGAATTAGAGATTATTACATGAAGAATCCGTGCTAGTAGTAGATACACCCCTGGGTGGAAAAATATTTCAAACTCAATAAATAGCAGTCATTATTATTTTTAAAGAGCGTAGTGCTCCTCAAAATTGACCTTTTAATTCAGGTTTTATCGCTACGTGATTTATGTCGGCAGCCAAAAAATATGATGTGGCCAAAAATATAGGATAGGGTTAGGACAACAAGGAAGTTTAAAAAATATTTTCGTGCACTTCATAACTCCGTCGCGAAAACCTAGGAATTTTATAAAGGCCCAGGGGTAACTTCTTCACAAATATAGTTAATCAAAAACAAGTATGTTCTCAACATGAATATGCGGAAGACCAGATGAGATTATTCAGCGTTTTTTATCAACATCTGTGGTCGCGAAATTTCAAATAAAAAAATGAAACAGAAAACTGAAAATCAATCTGATCACTTGAATCAACAATGTTTTTTATATATTTTGATTACGGTTTTGGTGCTACATCTGTACCTCGTAGTCGCGCTTGCGGACTTCGTGTTCCAAATCCCATTTCTGGCTCTCACATTTATACATCCTGTCGTAATATTCCTGGCAAATTTTTCTCAGCTTGTCTATTTGAAAAAAGCAATGGAAACACAGAGTCAAATCACAGTGTCCAACTACTTGCAAAATTTAACCATTTTCATTTAAAATTTATCGTCGATTTCGAATAGACAGAGGAAAGGCTCGAGGAGGCGTGAATGAATCGACTTTTGACGATCAACAGCGGATGTTTGTGACGGGTGCCCTTGAGGTTTCGGTAATTTTGGGATAATTCTAGGATAAGATTGAACGATCGTCGTATGCGTCGAAATAAATGCTTGAGCGTATAAATGCAACAACGATTCACTATAGATTAACGCGCTGCAGTAAAATTAATAACAGAAAACGTTAAAGAGAAAATAGGAAAAACTAAAACCAATTCGTGAAACAAAGGTTTGATTTGTGCGTCGTATGTCTCTCATCCGGCGTGTACTTTGATTTTTTACCTCGTACTCTTTCACTTTCTGGATATGCTCCAGGTCAAATTTATCGCCTTCGAGGCCGTAAATACGCTGCCAGTACGCCGAACAAATCGTTTGGAGTTCGGCTATTGAGTGTGTCAAGTGCACCGGAAAAAATGAAATCACAGAGAATATGTTACGATCACAAGGGATATTATTATTAGTCCAATAAGTTGCTTATGATTGGTATATAAAAGGGAGAACGATCTGTTGACAAATGGTTAACTCATATATGTTATATTCAGGTACTCATGGAGTATTTTTAGTTGTATGAAAATAAAATATATATACACAGATGAACAATACTCAAAAATATTTACAAATTAGTGCCTGAAAATAATTCAACGCATATACGATAGATAGAAATTTATATACAATATACTACTATACTGTGATGAGAAAAACGAATTGGATTTTTAAGCAAGTATGACTCATAATCGAATTTATGAAAATCTAATTCATTTTTCGCATTGTACAGTTCAAAATGAAAAATTTTCCAGCACATAACATAACGCTAAAAGAATAAAAATTACAAAACGTCTTTTCTTAAATATCGACATACAGCACCCGCTGAATAACATTATTCTTTTTTGTCTCTAATGATATATAAAAAATTGCATTTTGTTTATTGGAGATAAAAGCGAAAAGCAAAAGCGATGAACTGTAAAAAAACATCAGATAGATACAAGGAAAACGTACGTTACTAAAAAATAAGTACATAAAAACTGAATAAAAAATCTCAATTAACGATGAACAAGAAAACAAACGGTCACATCAAAATATCTCAAGTTGGTATGAGTGGTATCGTGTAGGTGATGTCAAACTAATTACAAAAAAAATATAAATTCGGTACTACAATATGTACAGCATTCTACTCAGTCTAAATTTAAGTCAACTAAATCTGTCACAAGATAAGCAATTGTGTATACTGTGTTGTACTAGTAAAATTCCAACAAAAATCATATATCATGAAACAAAAGCCAATTGAAAGGAAAACACCAGTTGGAGTAAATAAAAATTTATAAAAAAAAATCAAATTGATTTGTATTTGTAAAACGTTGTAAACCTCAAAGTCTTTTCTGTGGACTTCGTACTCTCTGTCGTACTTCTCATCTTCAATGGAGGCAATCCTATCGTGGTAAGCCTTGATGATGGACTTAAGTTGTTCTATCGGACAAAATGTAGAAAAATTTATTTACGCCCCCATAATCAATTTTTGAAACAATAAATCTATCGATAATTTGGCATTGATTCTTTTGAAAAAGTTACACTTAATTTCATACTGCATTGATTACTTGAGCTTAATGTGCATCAAAAAGGTAAAAGATATCAGTAATTACATGAAATGTGTAATTATTTATATCGTTGTGTTTGGAAACTTCGTAGCTGTGAAACCTATTTTTTGACCGTTTGCAGTAAAGGAACTGGATTTATTTACAAGTCTTATTACTTTTTACATTGTCATGAATATGTACACAATGTAAGTATAGGAGACCACATATATGACAAAATTATATATAATTTATCATCACATATGAAAAACGTTTACATTGACGAAAGAGAAATTGATTCTCCATTTGACGTACAAATATGATGAAAAATTGATAAACAAGATACAGAACAAAACAATATTCCCATAATAGTTATGCAAAAATAGCAAAAAGCATAAAAATTATATACGAGTATATAGAAATATATAAAAAATAAGACTACACTAGTAACTTAGAAAAGATGATAAAAACTATTGAAGTTACATTCCGATGGAATACAAAATCAAATTTATAAAAAATAGAATATAAAAATAAAAAAATAATAACAAAAAACAAAAACAATAAACAGAAAAGACGCAGCAGAGCCACAAGACAGTTCATAAGTGCAGGCCGTTCCAATAGAAGATAATATTGCTAAATAATATTTGATAATAAATGTTATCGATGCGCATGTGTTGTTATGCAACCTTCGAGCTACAACATAAAAGTAAAAGCAATTGGAAAAATTATAATATGCAAATTAGCGAAATTGATCGAAAAAAGCTATTGATATAGATACATTGTATATAATAAATTTTTGGACCCTGTCAAAATAGCATTTAGAAACTAATGGGCATAATCTTAGAGCATGTATTTGAATTGTTAATAATAGGTCTTAGTTAACCAACTATTTTCAAAAAAAATCGATTATGAAAGTAGTTAGAAAGTTTTAAAAAAACTTAAAATAGGAACAACATAGTTATATATTTTATTTTGTTGGAGATAGAGCTGTAGATTGAAATTTTATACAATTTACATTACTATATATTATTTACAATATCTATCTTGAATGAGAGTAAAATTTTTTTCTATTACACTTCTTTACGATTTAAAAATTAGTAGGCCAATTTTCGGATAAAATAGTTATGATAAAGTTACATGTCTTTTATGTTGAGTAGTCGCATGAGTTCATAGTCCTGAAAGTGTCAAAGAGCTATAGTATTTATTCGAGTGATTACCACAATCTCAACTTCTGCCTAATCTCCTTAAAATTTAAAATGGCACAAACGTCAAAATATAACATTAGTTCTTCTTCAAGCCTATTTCATTTATAGGTGCAACCTATCTACTTGTTTATCTATGGGTGCAACAAACTGATGCACTTAAAACAACACATGCAATAATTCGAACTGATGTTATCTTGACAATTACCGCATTTTGAAGGTTAGTAGTTAGTTATCAATTTTATCTGATAATTGGCCCACGGATCGCTTTAAAATTAAATATTACTCCAGCATGAGCAAAAAATCTTAGAAACATTTTGCGATTGCGCTTCAAATTAGCACTAAAATAACTCAACGAGTTAAATTTCTTTAGAATCTTTGAATGATGTACACGGAGCAGACTGCAAAGTATAATAGTATAAAAATGATAGAAATATGCCCAATAGCTCATAAACGTATTTTTTCTCATATTGAATATAAAAGATCGTTCAATTTAATTATTCATATAATCATTTTCCAATTGCTTTTACTTAATATATAGCTGTAACCTAAGATTTGCGAACATATTTTTATAATCTCCTTGTGTACCTCGAAGTCCTTGCGTTTAACGATGATCTCAATATCATATTTGGAATCTTCCAAGGAGCAGATACGTTGGTGATAATCGCGCAGAACTTTCTTAACCGCCTCTAAAATATTGTGCGGCCAACGAGAAATTGAAAACAATAATAATAAAAATTATACATTATTATGATGTTCTATTTAAACTCATTGTAAAATAATCGGCGCATATCAAGTTCATAAATAGATTTGCTTATGGGATCCAACTTATTGAACAATTATACTAAAGGACTTGAGAAATCAATCGAGTTATACGACATATTAAATGGTATATAATATGAACCGGTTGTAATCAAAGTTACTTAATTAATGAAAATTGCCATATATATTGCTGAAATAAAAGTATTATAAAAATAAAACATAACCTATATCAAATTGTTCTTGAAATTTCAATGTTCAAAATTGAGTATTTTTTAATATTTATACTTATTCAAATTAGCTATAATTTTGTAAAAAAAAATATTATTAAAATTATTTGGGTTTTGAAAGAATTTTTTTAATTAAGAACAATTGAAAAATATATTTTTTAATAATTCTACTGAATTGAAAACCTTACCTTCGTTGGCATCATCGACGTTCTTTGGTTTACCGCAACGTTCTTCAATGATGCGCCTCCTCTCGGCGGCTTTACGTTCTTGTTCTTTCTTCAATTCCTCAGCAGCCTTTTTACGCAGAAGCAACTGTAGGGGAATAAATAATATATTAGAAAAATAATTTAAGTAATATACACATAGCATAACGGTTAAAACATATCTGTTTAGTACATTGATAATGGTCTCAAAAGTTAGTAAATGTTAGGCTAATTAAAATGGTACATTTATTGATAATGGTTCGTAGGTACAATAAATAAAGAAATATTCATTGAATAAATAATTATTTTGATCGAGCAGCACATAGAAGGAATATTTTGGTAATGCTAAGTAATGGGTCTAATTTCGTATTAGTACGCAGTAAAAAACTGTCAACATGCTATGCATTTTTGGTGCGATCAGGCATTGAACACATAAAATCTAACCTACAAAACGAGCAAACGGTAAATGAGCATTTTGTCATACGTGCATCTTTTTGATGTGACTTTGATAACACACACGAAAAGTTAGGTTTTATGTGTAAAACGCCTGATCGCACAGCAAATACATAGCTTCTTGATAGTTCGTTACTACCAACTAATATGAATATAGATAGCAGGATGATTTTTCATACTTATATATGAAAGTATACGTAAAAAGTATATATCAATTTTCTTCATTCCCAAGATTATAAAATTCTTCATTCATTCATAAGATTATAAAATGAATCGAAAATATGTTATATCGTGTTGATGCCTAATTTTGCTGGTTCGTCGCATGTGCTGATCATATTCAATTTTAATTGCAAGGATAAATAATGTAATTAATCACCCACAACTTCATAGAAGGATTAACCTATACTGTATATTTGGCAAAACTATGGTAATTTAGAAAAATATTAGTGCTTTTATGGCTCAAAGAGTTTTTAGAGCTGCTAAGAAAAAAGAAGAAGAATAATGTAATAAATCTAAATTTGGGATCAATCTAAAATAACAAATTCTTTTTTCAACCAAGTCTTATTTGAAAATACTATAAAAAAATAAAATAACGTAAAATTATGACCACATAAATGAATGTAATTCCTATTTAACTAAGTAAAATTTATGGCTTAATATATTATGCGAAAGAGCCAAAAGTTTTTGTATCAAAATATTGGTTGAAGTGCAAGAGGTCTATCATTACCACAGATACAACAATTCATAGAAAGTGAATAATAAACATGAGCCCTGTGACTAATTTTATAAGTAATAAAGGTAATTCCAGAATTTTGAGAATAGCAATATTAAATTATATTTCATAGCAAATAGCTATAATTTTATAGCTTTCTCGACGACTTTTTATATTCTCGACGCAATTTGTATCTACAGTAGAACCTCGATTAATCGGACTAATTGTTGTCGATAGGCATTCAAATAGAACATCCGGGAAATAGAATGTTGTGTATTTATTAAAAATAATAAATACATAACAACGAAAATAATGTTTATTAAGAAATTGAAACTTCCTTATGTATGTTCTCTATCTATCTATCTATCTATTACATAGATATACTAAACTGCAGTATTAATCATAAATTGGTCGCGGTTGGGAGTCCAGATTATTATTATTTTTTTTTTTTTATTTTTGAATAGCAATCAGAACCCCGATGGTCCTATAAGCTGTTGTGCTGATTTGACTTAATACTAGTCTGTTTGACAGATGGCAACCCAATCAGTTGTCACATCTCTATATGATATATTATTATTACAATTTCTGTAATAGGGCGAGTATTTTTATTAGTGCAGCAATGCCGGGTCAAGGCTATTTTCACTTGTAAACATATTGCTATCTATATTTCCAAGTGAAAATCGTTGTCACTGCTGCCTGACAACAGACTGCTCGAAGTGGGTATCGAACCCGGGACCTCTGATTCAGGTCCCATCGCTCTTAACCGCTTACCTACTGGCGAGCTCTGGAAGTCCGGATAATCGCGAATCCGTATAAACGAGGATCTACTGTATTTATGTTCAATGCACAACTCATCGTTTCATTTCTTTTATTATTCAGATAAACTTGTAAAATAAATGATACCATTAACGGCACTTACCCTAAGTTTCTTCTTCCTGTCTGGGGTCATGAAACCTTTCTTGGCCTTGTTAGCCTTGGAGGCCTCCTCCATACGCTTGCGCACCTCAGCACGCTTGCGGTCGATTTCCGCCTGCTTCTTCTTCTTCTCCTGAATTTGCCAACATCAGGTAAGGCCGCAGGTGGATCGCCGAAGAAGATATATTGAAGTTCAAACAAAGTTATAGTGTGTGTGATCTATTTAGCGACAGTGTGATAATCGTGTGGAAAGTGTCAAGCGAAATATGGTATTTTGATAAGAAAAGTTTAGTTAAATATTGATGGAAATGCAATCACTAATTATATAAATATAAAATTATTTTATAAATTATAAGGTGATTTTATGGTGTATTTGCAATGAAAAAGTGAAAGAGAATGTTTGACACGGCAAAATTTATGTTAGAGCATATTATTTATGTCATAAATTAAATAACTTAAACTATAAATTATTAATAAATAATTGTATTGACATTTGAAAATTAAATATCATAACATTGTGTTATTTTATTTGATAATGTGTATTTTGGACAAACCTCCTCGATGCGCTTTCGCTGTAAAGAGAAAAGACAATATATTAGATTTTTACTAAATAAATTTCTATAGATATCTATATATCCTATATTAAATTAAGGGAGAGATACCAGGCGACACAATCGCAAAAGTTTTGGTTTCAATTTTGCGCATATTTTAATAACAACTTGTCCTAGGATGTACATAGTATCTCTCCCTTATAAAAAAAACTGTTATTTTATTTAATTACGCCTAAATAATTTAGCTTATTAAAATAAAACTGAAACCCAATTTCGAACTTTATCATTAATAATTAAATTATTATACACAAATTATAAATAAGGAATGCAAATAATTTTAAATAAACATGCTGGTCTAGATAATTAAAGTGTTAAATAAATTTTAAGAACATAATTCTTAATTTCAATGTTTGTTCCAAAGTCAAACTAATTTGATATTAATAAATTTATAAGTTATTGTTATCATACAAAAATCACGCTACATAGGCATTTAGAGGTTACAGTTTACAGAAGTTAAAGCTAAAACTACAGGACTTCTAATATACTCACGACCAATCTAAGTAACTTTAATCTTTATGCTAGATATAAATGAAAATTTTCAAGGTTTCAAAATCGATGTGTTTCACTAAGCTATTTTCATATAGCTTTTATAAAACACCTGGATGCTATCAATTTCATGATCAACTTTACTAACTGATCATGTCCGCAGATAGACATATCTGCAGATTTATTCTTTGTGCATTCAAAGGCGATGCAATTTAATCTAGGGACTGGACAATCTAAGGACTACAATACTTGAATAAAATCATTAGTCATTTTCAGATATTATTGAAAATTTAGCATGCTTGTTAAATTTACCTTGCATCGAGAAAAAAATCATACTGCGCAGATTCAAATGAAGATCATCCATGTGAAGATAGAAATATGGAAAGAAGATGGAAAAAGTATATAAATTTTGTGAAAATTATTTATAAAATATATGATTGTTTATTTTAGAATATCTTTTGTACTTACCAAACCTCATCGTCAGCCATGGTTGTAGTTTTTTGTGAGTCTGAAATAACAACAAAAAATGTGAAACTTGTGCAAAAATATATTAAGATATATTCAAGATTAATAAATATATATTTATTACCCTCATCGAAATCATTTCTATTATAATGTTTTTATCTATCATTTATTATTTATCTATTTTTCTTACTAAGAATTTTTTATCCCGGTAAAACTTTTAAATGAAAAAAGAACAGTAACTGAGATTTGATTAGAAAGGGACGTATTTTTATATATGGTTTAACATTCACAATTAGTTATTATGCAAAATACAAATATTTTGTCGTAATTTAACACAATGGTATTCACAGTGAAATTGAAAATCTTTCTTAAAGCACCTTCGTATTACATATTTGTTCAATGTGACATATAAGAAACAAATAAACAGTTAGCATATACTGCTGTTACATCAAGTCATCGCAAAAATAAATAGGCATTTAAAAAAACCCTGAATAAACAATCTAAAAATCTTTTTGTTATATTCGTATCATTTTTTAAAGTTTTATCTCTTGGCTAATTTAGCCCATACATCGCAAATGAAACTAGAGGCACAATACAATAATGTAACGCATCTTAAAAGTAAAATAATTTAAATATTGTGTTATCTAAATAATATATGTCTTCAATATTATTTTCAATAAAAAAACTGACTGCGCTAGAAAAATCTTTTTATTCACATAAACAAAATGTTATCGTTTCCCTTGAAATTTGATTGCAGGTGTTTTTTTATATATTTTAATCGCATTGTAAACGATGTCAACTAATGTTGTAACGTTTTGTTATTTTTCACAAGTACCTACAGATCAGAAAACTAATTAGTATAAGAAATTAGATTTATGGGAAAAAATAGAGTTTATTGAATAGCATTATTTTTCAATTTCATTACATCGAAGTCAGCTTACTATAATAGAGAATATCATCAATATCATCATTTATGATTCGTATATTAGCGCAGGACGTTGCCTATATAATAGTGCAATCTAATTCGGGCGTCGACTGTAAATAAACTTGCCGCTTCTGGTTGCCAGATTCAGTCGTTTTCACTCCGACTCTATTTTTAATCGTTGTCTTCGAATGAACGCAGATAATCTTACAAGAAATGGGTGTTGCATAAGAGTTACACGTTGTTTTTATATGTAGAAGCATTTAAATTATTTGTCATTAGTAGTCTCGAACGAATGAAGGATTAATTTTCCTTAAGCTACTATGCACAACATATATCTCAAAAAATACTATTTAATCAATTTTACACATGAAATTTGTTTTCATTATAATTTTTTTTTTATTTATAACAACAATCAGAAGTTGTTCTTTGACCTTTTATGATAAAACTTCTCATCAATAAAATTGCTTTTTAGAAGGCAACCCAAAGTTGACCCATCTATTTCATTATAAATTGAAATATTGCTTTGATACTATAAAGCAATCTAACAAAGAGATTTTCTAATGGACTACGAGTCGAAATTTTTTTTGACTTGCAATTTAATACCAATGTAGTTTTTGACAAAATCATGGAATCGTCAATAAATTACAATAACACGGAAATAGTAAATGAAATGAAAGTATCAGGTTCAAAGATAATACATTGAGATGTAAAAAAGATTAGATCAAAACATTTTGTTTGTAATTATTTATAAAGTATTTATAGTTATTTTATTGCTTTACTTCCAATAATTTATCAATTTTCCTTATCCCATTCGAGACGGCGATTTTTTTCGAACTGGGTCTCCAGGAGCGATTTTTTTCTGTTTGTATTGTTCATTTTTAATAAAAATACTTGTCTACTACGAAAATCACCCAATTCGTAAGCAAATTTGCATAAAATATATTATTTTAAAAAAAATTAATTATTTGCACACCGTGTGTGCAACTCGCTCCTCAGACTTTTTTTATTGCGAGGAGCGGATTGAATATCATATGTGCAATGTAAGGTACAATAAGGTAAAATTGACAAATATTTATATTAAAAATAATTAGATAATATAAAATCGCTATGTTGCTCTCAATAATGAAAAACAGAATATAATGCAAAGAAAAATTTTAAGGAATAGTAAAAAGTCAAAAAAATAAGTAGAATAACAAAGAAAATAATATAAACAAGAAATAAATTATTTTTTACACTGTTCGTTTATGGGGTATATATAAAAGGCGATACTATTGCTGTTGGTGATAAATTTGAAAAATAAAATTGGATAAATATGGGCCTTGCATTGATATTTTCTAAAAATGTAGGTTTCGAAATTCCTAACGAAATATTTTGTTTTGTTTTGGTACCCAATGAAACCAATGCCAAATTTTGTTTTTCTATAATTTTACAAATACTATTATTTCAAAAAAAATCAGAATTTATTTTACTCAGAATAACTGATAATTACTCATTACTATTATTGCACACACGGTGTGTGATAAAAAAATCGTTTTGTGAAACTAAATTTAATTAAATGTCTAAGTTGGTTAACTTTGTTGGTTGGTAAATGGGTAAGATGGCATTGCACAAGATAAAGGGCATTGATCTTATGAAACCACTCAGCGCAGACATTTTTTGTTTATAATAATATAAATATAAAAAATATTTTCTATCCTAAATCACACCAAAACTTAAATTTTTATTCAATTTGTTGAATTTTCCATATGAAAAATTCAGACAGAATTATTAAATAATATTATTTAATTATACAAACCCTACAAATATGACCAAAAAATTTCTTATGAATGACGGAAATCCTAAAACTCTCGAAGAATATTCTTAATTATTAGCCAAAAAAATAAAAAGAAAGAGATTTGAATATTAGCAGACTAGAAGTACGTAAATAATTCAGTACCGGACGAGCTGATTCCAAATTTGGCAAGCGACGCCTCGGTGTCGAGTGACCGTAGTTCAAGATGCCACACGTCATCAAAATGGCCGAATGTTTATAAATATAGTTCACTAGATAATTACCATAGCAGAAAAATATTATGCATAAATCGTTAAAGTAGGCTCTTTTGGTAAAGTGCGCACTATTTACTAAAACCTTTTTTATTTGGTATTTGTTTCTAAAGCAACAAGTAGCAGAGATTTGTTGTAAATACGCAACACTTGAGTTATGCCTAGATTTGAATCAAAAATAAAGACCCCAAAATTCAACCAATTAAATCATTGAGAATAAACGCAAGACTCATTCATGAAATAGATCTTGAATTATCAACAGTTTTATTAGAGATAAATTTTCTCTTTTAGATTTTTATTTTAAACTGCTGTCAATCTTTAAATATCATGTCATAAAGGATACAAATATGTAATTAAATATAGACTTCAATTATTGTGTATTTATGCATCACATGTAAAACCATTTATTCAATTTCTGTTTTACCCGAAAGCGTACTCTTTCATAACGGAAAAGTTTCATTTCCTTATCATTATTAAAGTGTTGTTAATTAAAACCAAATCTAAAGTATCTAACTTTATATGAAATGCGATTGATATGAGATTGCGTTTAATTTTGGCAATTGTCCAAAGAGAGGATCTAATAAGAATTTGACGTAATAAAATTAAGTTTATTTTATGGTCATAGGTTTAGAATATAATCAACCAAATGTGCAAACTAATTCATTAATTGTTTAATTAATTTAATAAATTTTTGCGCAAGTGATACTTTTTAATTCATTACTGGTGGCGTTAGCATGGGTAGCATAGGCTGATTCAATCTATACTAGTTGTAGCTCGTTCCCGAAATAGTTACCGTTCCAAAATACACACTGTATCACACCTTGGACATTAAAAGCACATGTCAAATAATTAAACAATTCAGCTTACCAAAATGATGACATTGACGAAATCGTATTGAAAACCCTTATCACATATGCGAAGCACTTTATAAAATTAACACATCGTTTTCCTTCACTTAATAAATTGATTAAAACAGCTCTTTCGGTCCCTTTTATCTTCAGGGAATTCGAGAGATCAGGATTCGAATTTATATTTTTTTTATTCAATTCTCAAATTTCTGTGCGGACTCACCTGGCTAGAAAGATTGGAATGGAACACGGGTCGAACTTGGCAACCCGGACACTTGATGCGGACTGATGAATCTTTTGGTACAGGAACCCCGCTTACCCCCAAAGAAAAACCAGAACTGATGCCAAAAGTTCCCTACTCTCGGCAAGTATCGACACTCCCACTCTCTCGATTCTAAAGATGGATCAGAGCGAGGAATAGATCCGTGGATCGAGGGCCGTAAGATACCCTGTAGATCAAGAGCTGGTTTCATTTTGAATATTATTAGAACTGGAAATATGGAGACTCTTTAAAATTTAAGTAATCATACTTTTTAATATAAACATTTTCAGATCCACGTAAAAATAATTAGGTCTTAAAATATGCTCTGACAATTTACTTTCTCCAAAATTTTTCAAAACCACTCATATCAAATTATTCTAACAAAAGTTTTCTTATAATACTAAAATGACAAACATATGCATCATTGCAGCATCTAGACATTTCAATTGGAAAAATCTTAAATGTTAAATTTTGATCGTAAGTTCTTTTGCAGTTAATTTTTATTCAGTGATCACGGTCATTGCTTATTATCACTGTAATTCGAGTTATTATCCATAGTTCAATTAGCATTAAGTAAACAATATTAACTTCCCGAAGGAGAAGTTTATGTTTTCATGAAAAAACCGATTCGCTAATTTTATGTTTTCTCTATGTTTCAAGCCATTCTGAATCGAATGAGACAAAATTTGAAAAAAGTATGTGTGTGTGTGAGCAGATTTTTTACCGAAACGGCTTGACCGATTTCAAAAATTTAAAAGCCATTCGATGTATCGCGTTGAGGACTAGCGTATCAGCCGTTTCTTTGTAAATAGCAGAAAAGTGAAAAATTTAGACTATGGTAGATACCATAGTCTTCTAGATCATACTAAAATATTACCGCCCTACGACAACTCGTTTAGCTTTAAAAATTCGTCAAAGTTTACAAAAATTAGTATCGTTTTTCTGGCATTTGTCAAAATTAGACCTTTCATCGACGTTTGCTCAAAAAGCCTGAACCGATTTCAGAAATTCAAAAACCATTTGATGTGTCTCAATGAGGATTATTGCTTGTCAGTTTTATGAGACGATCTGCCGAGCCGTTTCTTTGTAATTTGGAAAAAAGTGTTAAACTTTCCGTCCACATGTAAGCTCATACTACCGAATCGATTATAAAAAATCAAAAACTGTTCGAAAGATATTAGTTGGGAATGATACTGATTAGTTTTAGGTGAAAATCTACCGAGCAGTTTTCTTGTAAATAACTGTTGAAAAAAAATTTAAGCCGATTTTTATGGAACTTTTTTATGTGCGATATATATATCATATATATATCATGGTCTTATAGACCTTACTGAAATATTAAGGCTTTGCGACAAGTAGTTTAATTTTAAAAATTCATCAAAGTTTGAGAAAATGAGTAGTTTTTTTGACGTTTGTTAAAATTAAAATTAGACGATTTACTTAGTATAACGACAGAGTACTTGGTCTTAATGAACATACGATCCATTAAAGTCCTACGGAAACTGGTTCAGTTATAAAAATTGTTGATTTGTGAAAACGTGCTTTTAGAAAATACTCCGAGTTATCGTGTTCGTTTTCAATGATGTGTGATAATTCTACTCGGTATACTTTTAATCACTCATAAATTATTTGATTTTTTATTGATTAAGTCGATTATATACACATATCGGGAAGTTCGGGTAACTTGCCTCAAGGCAAAACACCAATACTAGCTTGTTTATATTTGTTTACATTTACCTACTAAATAAAACTACTACTAAAATATTGATATTTGTAAAACATTTTAGACGGCTATATATCAAAAATAAATAGAATTAAAGGCAATTTAGAGCATGTTTTAAAGTAAAAGGGTTTTTGAAATTGCAGTATGGACTAAAAAGTCCAATTTGCTTTGTTGTATGATACTCATAAAATAGACCTTATACTACATGGACTGCTAGTCCTCATATGTTTTCCATGTTATAATTTATAAAGGGTCAAAAGAAAGAAGGTGCTGTGACGTCACTGAGTGAACAAGCATTGCCGACAATCGTGGAACACTCCCGATGGATTAAATGTCATATGTCACGTGCTTAACCTAAAAGTAAATATTGTATGCTCGATTTTTGTGGATATTACATACATATATTATATATTATACATCGTAACAATTAATGTAATTCAAATATTATCTGTGATAGTTTTAATGGCAATAGTGTGAACAAATAATTTTACAAAAACCTTGATATTAATATGTTGCCACTGTGAAATAAATGTACATAAAATCTAACCCACATGTTAAAATCGGTTTATATATTAAAAGTTCTATGCATATGACATTTAATCATTCGGGAGTATTCCATGATTGTCTACAACGCTCGTTCACTAAATGACATCACAGTCCCCTTCTATCTTTTTACACTTATTTTGCGCTCGACTAGCAGTCCATGTAAAATAAGTCATATCATGATACTAACTGAAATAAAATATATAAAATAAACAATTGTTTAAAAAAAATAGTGATGCATTCTTTTTTATTTAAAAGCACTTACATTGTTGTACATATTTTAGTTGTCAAGATGTTTCATATTTTTGTCCTTATTAAAATATATTAAATTATTCAAAAGACAATTCTCAATTGAAAGTAAATTCTTCGTGAAAATATTTTTGTACATATTCATTCTCTCAAATGTTTAATATAAATAAATATTAATATTCAATAGTAAAAATAATTTTCTAGATTTTATTTGAATGTCGAAATATTCATTCTTCTAAACGTTTAATATAAATTAACCATTTTATTTCATAGGAATTTATATAATACTTTAACTCAGTTTATTTGAACATTTTAAGAAAATATAAAACAAAATCGTTTGATATTTATTCTAAAACTGACCAGCTCCTCTTGCACTAAACTAAATCGTAATTGCGAGATCAACAGATTTTGCGCCGCGATATCGAGATTTAACAAGATTATTAATCATTTACTGACGAAGTTTGTGAGATTGATTGAGGATAAATGATTTATGATGAACTAACATATATTCGAGCATTTAACATTACTAATCGTTAAAAATTCTATTAATATCATTATTATTCTATTCCTTTCTCGCCTACTTGCATTTCGTGTTGGTATTGAAATCTTTACTTTGTTGTTATTTGATTGTGAATTTACCACTTGCATCAAGCACATATAGTATAAACAAAATGAATGAAAACACTGTTCTTCATAAACAAATTAATACGTTGAAGTAAGAATTGTTCTGTTTCCTTATTGAGTGCAAAATTAATTACTTAAAAGAGCCATCAATATTAGATATAAAAACGCCTAGGTCCTTCAATAATTTCTCATACTAATTGAAAAACTATTTAGTTATAGTATTCAAAACATTACTTGTAATCTTCAATTTGATCAGTTTGTTTGTCCTTCCGCTTGTCTGTATGTCTGTCATAATCATTTTACTTCAAATCTAATAGTCAATTCTGAAGGTAATCTCTAGACAAAGTGATTTATAAAACTAAATACGACAAGATGTTCAATTAGATGTAGTTTAATTATCATTACAAATGATTAATTTTACATTTTTCCTAGCAAACTATTAAAAAGTCATTGTGCTATGCCAGTTTTGCGCTTAAATTTTTAATATACTTAACTATAATTCTGATTTTTTAAAGATAATAGAAATGACCTTCAATAATTGAACAGTTCAGCATTTTGAACAATATATAAAAAAAAAGAAAACTATTTATAATTGATATATTCAAATTTATATATTAATATTATAATGCTGCTTTAATTAGCTTTTTTCTTGCTACTGCCAAAGAAAATTTGACGGTCCTATACATCTCTATTTACTTCATTTATCTTTTTTAATTTATTGCATATAAATATATAAATAAACAATAGTGAGTTTAAGTTTTTAAGTTTTTATTGTGCTCGATGAAGGTGACATGTATGTACAGTTTATCACAATTTATTAGTTTCGGTTTTGACTGAAATTATAATTTTGCTTTGATTGTGTTTATATATACAAATATATACGAATTAAAAAATTGAATAAATAATTGCAATTATTTATTTCTACGTTTCGTCACTAAGTATGTGCCATCATTTAGCTAATCCAGTTGGTTCCTGACAACAAACAGTTTTATATAAAAAAACCAATAGAATTGTAAACCTCAAGCTACAATAAATGTTTACCAAAAAAATTAAAAGAAATTTGTGTGAGACAAAATTATGGTAGTGGGCACAAAGATCCGATTTGACTTTGAGAAATTACGTTGTGAAAACCGAAAAACCAATAGTATAACAACAATTAGCACATATCGAACAAACAACTATATGACTATGCTCAATAAAACTCCCAGCCAATGTTGTTTTTGCTGTTTTTCAAAAATTTGTAATCTGGTTGTTTTTACCCCATAAGCTATGCAAAACTATTCAACCAATGCAAAATATAAATTTTACGGGTACATTTTTTTTAGAGATAATACTGTATTCAACCTGGATGTAGTATTTCATCAAACAAATCATCAGCAGCGTTAAAACAAACATTTAATTAACTTATCACTTGTAAAACTGCTTTTTCTAACTTAAATTACTTTATTATTCAATATTTTTATTGTTTCCACTTTTGCCAGGGTAAAAGTTGAGTTGGTCCTTCTTACCTCACCTACGTCTTAGCTTTTATAAAGGCAATATAAATAAAACTGTTGAATGTAAATTAAAATTAACATTACATCTTAGAATAATTAAACAACCAATACTTAAAAATTATATTGAGGTCTCGTAAACTAAACAACGAGGTTCACAACCAAAACAACTAACAAAGAAAGAAAATACTTATGTGATGTATTTTCAAACATTGCCGATAGCAACGTCGTAAGAATTTAGGCGATGGCTAGTTATACATCTCTTTTCCTCAACTTTCAAATATTGTTGTTAAAAATGCCTTACTTTAGTTATTTTTGAGATATCGGTGGTGGATAGGGGGCTCTATAAACCCTGCTCTACTCTACATATATTATATTATATGCATTAAATTAAAAATAATGTTTTTTTTTATTGATGTTTGATTGATGTTTTTTAACTTCTGATTATTGACGTTAATAGCATTAAAATAGTTTGTG